TTTCACAATAATCTGGTTAAAATTAAAGTACAAACATTTAGTACAAAAAATAAATGGTGTCAAATTAGGAAAACCCTGGTCCTAATGTGATTAAATGTGTGAGATAACAGCCCAGTGTTAATGTTAGCACAGCCTTTACCTCCTAGCTGCAGAGTCTGACGACAGCACATGACAACATGAGAAAGAATAAGGCTTTTATTAAAGGCTGAACCTTCTTTTAGACACGACCCCTGCAGCACTCTCACCCTCAAAGACCACAGTTTCATCTGGACAGAAAATGGGAATTTTAGTCTGAGACCCTGATCTATTTCAAAATGAAAAACAAGTTTCTTTTAGCCTTGTTCTGGTCCAACAAAAATTCTTGGTGGAGAAAGAGGAGAAATACCAGCTCGTCTCTACAGAGTCGAGGGTCTGACGGGGTTTGACTTTTTTAGTGAGCAAGTAGGTAGTTATCTCATCTCAAGGAGGACAAGACACACTGAGAGATTTACTCACATGTAAAAGTTGTTGAAGAACAAGAACATTTTCCAGCCTCTCTGTTTTCTTCTACTTTTATTGTACTCACTCCACATTCTTCACCATTCTGTCCCCTCATAAACCGGTGGTTATGCTCATTTTCAGGCCTGAAATGGGCAACGTGGCTTGTAAAGTAACACAGACAGATCGTAAGTGACCGAAATGTGAAACTGTTGGTACATGTAGTACATGTAGTACATGTAGTACACTATTCAAATTCAATATTTTTGATGATTTTAACTAGTTTTTTAATCACTAAAACAACAAAAGTTTTGTTTTCTCTTGAGCTGGCTGGTCCCATTAGTGGCAGTTAAAGCCTCCTATTAGCTTAATGAAGTAGGTTTGTCTGGTAAAAACAGGCAGTCATTTTGTGTGTCAAGTCAAAATATTTAAAGAAGGCATTTGCAGTATACGATGCAGTCTGTCGTTGCAGTCACTCGTGTAAATACAATAGGAAATCTAGTGATGGCGCTGTTAAAATAGTTCCTTACTTTTGTTAAGTGGTAAGATGTAAAAAAAAAAACCCATTTGCAGTAAAAAAGCTGTAAATTCCTCAATCCACAAAACACAGGTAGAGTACGTCAGTATATTTAGTACTCTTTACGTACTCTTTCCTTCCTGTGGAGATGAATGAGTCTCGGGTGAGAAACAGATGACATCACTTGTCGACCTTTCAGCTCCCAGTTTTTTTTTTTTTCTAAACAGAAATTAGAAAAAGTCTGCTGACATCTTTAGTGGAGGGAGATGAAAAACCTACTGTGGAAGCTCAACATTCTCACCTATTCAGCTGAATTGAAATCAGAAGCTTTGAATCACAAGACACAAATTCTGAATGAATCTTTTCCCTCTTTGTCTCTGCCTCTCTGTCCTGGCACAGAGCCCAGCGTATAAAGCAGTGAGGCTCAGACACTGGCGGAGAGAGGAACTACAGTCTTCTGAAATACTTTCTATGTTCTTTCTTTTTCTATGACTCATTTTACTAACAGCATTTCTTCATCAGCTGCACAGCAGAGTCCTTTTCCATCAGCCGTGAAGACACAACAAAGTTAATAAATACGCCCTTTTCTACCTAACTAGATTATGTTTGAACATTTGGAACAGAGTAGGGGAAAAAGAGGCAGAAAATGAGTGGGAAGAGGAAGAGAGCACTCTCACTGGCCCGCAGTGGAATCTAGATCCCCCTGGATTTATTTGTCTACATAACTCTTTCTCCTCTGGACACCCCCATTTTTCTCTCTTGTTTTTCCATTAAAACCCTGTGTATGTCTATGTACAAACACAGACCTACAGCAATTAGTCATCTCCGACAAACTGACCTTCACTTTCAAGTTGCGCTCACAGTCATAATTTTTAAATATCTCACTTGAATAAGGATGATGAAAGGACCACTGTGAACTGAACCACAGTCAAACTGACTTGGTCTGGACTTGTTAAACAACCTAGCCTACTGTCCAACAGAAGAGACGCATGTCCTCTTCATTTGACCACAGAAAACTCAGTCAACAGAAGGAGAGACGTGTCACAAAATGAACCTCACAGAAAAACACCCTTGTCCACTCTCTGAGACCAGAAGGACTCTCAAATGTTCTGATTCTGTGTGTGGAGCTCACTCACCATGCTGTTTTTCTGTCTTGCTGGCGTCAGGGTCCATGGTACATTCACAGGGTGATGAGCACCCACATCAGCACACCCATATCCTGAAGTAAAGCCGGCTCTCAATCTGAACTTGAACGGGTAAGTGCAGCTACAGTTCCTCTGTCCTGCCACTGATGTCTCCCGTTTCCTGTTCTCTCCACACAGAGCTGCTGGCTTTGGTGTGGCCTCTTCAGCCTGCCAGCTCAGCTCAGCTCAGCTCAGGCTTCGGCTGTACGTACTATTACATCTGTCTGACTGAACCCTTTTCTAGAGAGTGGTGGGAGAGAGAAAGTGAAAAGAGAGTAAAAGGGAACACAGAATGGGAGGGAGGAGAGAGAGAGAGAGAGAGAGAGAGAGAGAGAGAGGCAGTTTCCACCGTGTTGTGTTGGTGGTGGGGAGGGAGAGAGATGGGTGGAGAGGGCTGTGGCAGCGCCGAATGTTTCCACTTTGATCAATTTCACGCTCAGCATATTTTTTTCTCTTCACAACAAGAACTTAGAAACATAAGTTTGGAAACTATTATCATACCAGAAGAATGAAAAAAAAAAAACTTCCAGACTACTGTAAATCCAAATGTTAGCTGTGTTTGCTGCATATTCAAAGTTCTGTGCTGCAGCTTTTAGTTACAAAAAGTTGTTTCAAATAAGAAGCCTTTCCTGGTCTGTGCAGCGACACTTGAATAACAAACCCATGGTAATAATAACACTTGTGTTGCCCTGACACAATTCACTCCAAGATACCAGTAATTTGGAGTATTTTCATTCATACCAATACACATACTGCTTTATGCTGCATTTCATCAAATGTGCAGTGAACTGGGAGGCAGTATTATACACAGTAGGTTGCACAGCATTGTGGGACACCAAGCACAAAAATGCTTACAGCAAGTTTTATCCTCTTCTCATTAACATAAGGCTGTTTTAATCCACTCCAAAAGGAAACAAATATTTCTGTATGAAAACTGATGAAAACTGCCTTTTCCTTAGACATTTAGAAAGTTAAACGTTCTGCAAAGTCATCTGTCCAGAAGGTGAGCAGAGCATTGACGAATTTCAATCCAAACATATATAGTTAAACACTGTCTGCTGCTTTCCTGTGAACATGTCACTCTCACTCTATTGCACTCTATTTCCATTTACCAATTAAACAAAACACACACAACTGTGTCAAATAATAATAATATCCATCCATGAATCTACATTTAAAAAAGTGACCTGACAGTTGCGTAAACACCTTAGCTGTGCTCTACGCTGAAATTGACAAAAGTAACAGACTCTGCGAGCTGTAACATACAGTATCCAGGTCGATGGAGCGTCTTGGTATTTTCATAACTTGCATACATTACAATAGAACAAATGTTACAGTAGGCCTGCTCCTGTCATTCTCCTTCTCTCCAAACTGCTGACGTCGTCGGCCTAGTTGAGTTAAGTAGCCATGAAGACAATGAGACACTGAACTCCAGCGGGAAAACAAATAACACAGAGAGGCTATTTAAATGATGTAACTGTCCCTTTACCATTAGTTCCATTCTTCTAGAGACGTGTGAGTTAAACGCTCGGATTTATAAAGTGCTCGTGACTATTGGAAACGTGAACCCAAACTGCTGCTGCTGCTGGTATTATTTTTGAATCTTCTAAAAAATGTTTCTTTGTTGCTTGCAAACATACAGTCTTTTAAGTTTTAGCTGCACTCAGGCATCCCTGTTAGATTAGATCACCACCTTATGTTCATTTCAGGGATTGTGTTCTTTGAGTTTAATGCTACTCCCTTTATTCTTCAGTCTGACTTAGTTATGGCCCGGCAGAAGAGGGAGAGTTTCTCTTTGTTTGTTTATGTCAGTTTGTTGTTGATGCTTGGGAACAGCGTACTTCTACATACTGTTCTTCTGTCTTGAGAGCATCAACAAACAACCTTAAAGTTTGTTTCTAAGTTTTTTCAGGTTTGTTTTATTTTTGCATAGTAAATGAATGTTAGCTTCCCTGCAGCTGTAGACATCTCACCATAGGGAGAGTCTAAGTTTTTTATAAGGATACTCTTTATGTATAAAACTTCGGTCTCAAGAGAAACTGCTCTTGGTTGTTAAACAAGATTTGAACATTTCTAGGCCTCATTTAACAACAATGGTTCGAGAGCAGATAGTATAGCATTTAGCAAATAAAAATGATTAAGAAAACTGGAAATTTGATAGCTAACGCCACTGATATTAAGAAAAACATTTGTGATCTCTGAAGATATCCGATGGGAGCCTAACAGCACTCTGTTTCTGACATGTTTGTGCCAAAACCACTGAGTTCAAAAGAACAGCAGCAGCGGCTCAGATTCAGATTCAGATTCAAGAACAGCAGCAGCGGCTCAGATTCAGTTGGAAAATGAGACGAGAAGAGAGCCATCTCTGATTTGCCGGATCATCTGGGTATTCATCACACTGCTGTATTTATTCATGGCACTGCCTATTTAGGGACAGGAGCAGTGAACAATTTCACAAACCATGGATCATGTGAGTGTGTTCATGTTTGTAGTATTCTCATGAGGAGCAGAACATAAAACGTCATTAGATTAGTTATTATCATGATTAAGTGTTTCATGTTTTTATCCATATAAAAAATGCGACATTGACAGAATTGATATGTGATTAAATGCTATCGCTTCACAACAAACTGACCTCACCTTAGATTAGACATTCACTGGTATTTCTAATATCTGATATTAATAACTCAGCTTAAACATAAATTGAATTGTTGAATCAGTGAAATGTATTGTTTCATAAGTTTCATATTCCATGTTAAAAAAATGATATCACATACATTTCCACTTTTATTCTGTATGAGTTCCAGGGTTAGGGTTAAAAACTAAGTGATGCAGAGAATGCTCTCCTGGATAACTGAGGAGACACAAGGACATCTCTGCTTATATCATTATCGAGCCATCATCAGACTAGAATGTGACCTCCGTGGGGAGGTACTGTGAAAATGGAATGCATTTTAAGCATTAGGCTATGGGTTATGTAAACTGGAGTTTCAAAAATTCAAATGAGATCTTTCTCTCCTTGTGTCATCGCTATTTACCTGAGAGGAAGGAGAATTATTTAAATACATGTACATAAATCTAAACTAATACTTTTTCCAAACAGTAAAAGGAAACAAAAAGCATAATTTCTCAGATCTTAGTGAAATCAAACAGGAAGCCTGTCCTGGTGTACTGTGTCATGGACTAAATATGTCGCCAAGAGAGAAAGGACTTAGCAACCCAGTAAGATCAGCTCACAACCCAGCAACAGTAGCTGTGAGTTACAAAGGCCTAAATGTCAAACATCAGTGCCACCTAGTGTTTCATTGTTACCTATTCAGAGGTTTCTCACAAACACAGAAGGGTGTTTCGTTGCTACAGCTCATCTGTAGACTTAAATCAAGTACATAAATGTTTTCTAAATCAGCAACAGGGGAGACACTGGGGAACAGAAACCTGGAGGTAAAATAAAAACATCTGTCTTATTCTACAAGGTTTAAACACTGTAGCACTCTGAAGCAGCAAGCTCACCATCTAGTGGTTATGAGGTAGAAGAGTAAATCATCTGCACATTTTCACTGACTCATTCTGGCAGTTGAAGGTTGTGTACTGTTTAGTGTGCGACTGGGAGGAGAATTTGAAATAATTTGTGTTAGTTAGGTCGAACGCATTTGCAGGAGAAAAGAGTGTTCACATTTGTCCCTTCACAATAAACAAACATTTAAGGTTTACATGTTAAATACACCTCAATGTCTGGGTGAAACAAATAATGGCTTTTTAGATTTAAAGAAAAATATTTATATGATGTTATAGTGTGCAGAAAAGATGAACAACTGCCTTTTCGTCACCACAGATAAATGACAAATAAACTTTTTTTTAAACATTTTTTCTCAGGTTACTTACCGCTCCCTGTAGAAAGCTGGCTGTGAAATTCTGGAAACTGAGTTTCCACAGGAACACTGATTGTCCGCCGCAGAAGATGGGCCTTGCATGATGTCGGGCGCCTCGTCTGCAAAAACAAAATGAGTTGTGAAGATGAATTTAGACACAAAATAAAAAAATAACATACGATAGGACAAGAGGTGTTTTATTTATATTCTTTATGGAATGTTAAACTAAATAAAGACGTGTTTGGTCAATAGTTCAATTGTGGTAGTGTTTTGGATAAACTGAGAGTCACTGGGTCAAACACCGTAGGGCTCTGCAGCACATCTGTCTGTGTCAACACGTATCTCTGTATACCTTCCATACCAAGTGTACGGCTCCAACAGATTAACCAGACAAAGGTGTAGGAGTTCGACTGCAGAGAGAAAAGGCCTGATGTTCTACAAACACAGTGATAAAGGCTTATCGAACACTTTCACACCTCTCCACTCAACGCAGCACCCTTTTCTTGTCACTTTCTCCATCCCACTGTTTCCAAGTCTGTCTGTTTATCTGCTCTCCAGTCGCTGCTTTAGTTGCCTTGGGAAACCACATTTTCACTAGCTGTTTTGAGCAGAAATTAGTTTATAATACATTATATGGATTGTATGCAAAATATTTGTATGAAAAAAGGAAATGTATGTAGCAGTGTGTGTGTGTGTGTGTGTGTGTGTGTGTCAAGCAGCCCCTCTATTTGTGTCTATGTGCGTTGATATTTTACTTCGGGACAAGTCGAATATTAAAATGAAAATTGTCCAAACCCTCATGGATTCACACCACTCTCACTGTTATTATCTTCACTTCAAGCCCTTGAGACAATGTACGCTGTCATTCTCACTTTCATCATTTATTTCTCAGCATCAGTATATTTCTGTTTTGGCCTCCTTTGTGTTTGTGTAAACTACAGAGGTATTTCATTTAGAATGTATCGATTCTGTTTCATTAATGACTGTCTAATATCTAAATGATTTTCACAAACACAAGTCGTAAGAAACATCATTCTATTTGGAGAAGATCGATGAATGTGGTTAAGTAGGAGATCAGGAAGTCAGAGACGTCAGGGTGAGATGGAGGCAGATGATCTGGTGTGGTGACCCCTGAAGGGAGCAGCCGAAAGAACAAGAGGAAGAATCCTGCCCTTGGCAGAGCTTTGTGGCCGTGTGTACCATCTGTGCTGGCTCATTAAACCCTCTGCTGGCTCACACTGGTCTGTTATAATGTGATTTTTTTTTTATTTCATGCAGACAGTTGATCTAAATGTCTTTATTACTGGGTATAAAACATTGGATTTTATTTAGCCTTAGATTTATATAGTACATGCTGATTGATTAATAAAACAGCGCTTTGAGTGCATCTTTAACGCCACCTATAGGCCAGGGAGGGAGAGATACATACTTAATGTTGAAAAAACAAATACCCTTATAATTGAACAAAACATTAAACGTCATCTCCTTTAAAATTAACGTTATTTAATGCAAAATATTTCTTAGTTTCTTGATGAACTTGGAAAAGTTAAAAAACAAAACAATAGGAAATGGTAATTCACAAATGAAGGAGAGCTTGTCCTCGATAATCAGAAGACTTCTGAGTTGCTTTTAGCTGAAAGGCTGTTGTACAGCACACTGCAAAAACTGGGACACAATTAAGAAAGAAATCCTGCTTTAGTCACATGCACAGACCAATGGGGGCTTAACTACTAGTAGTTGAAGAAAAGACTAAAACTAGTCCAGATAATAAATAAACATCCATTCTGTGTAATATTGAATATTTCATTATTTTAGCTATAATTGATTTTGTACAAATTATTTATGGACACCTTACTGCTCCAGTGCTTATGCTGTAACCTTGAGATGTAAATAAAAGTCAGCATGTTACCCACAGGGTAATAGCATTTGCTGTTAAATTTTAATGAATAAAGCACATTTTTTTAAGACGATGAAAAAAATAAGGCTTCAAGCTGAAATAAGCAGAAATATGGAGAAAGCAAGGCGAGGGTCCTATTTCTTTGCTCGTGTTAACATAGATGCACATTCTTTCGCATTAGCACTTAAGTCAGTATTTTAGAACCAACAGACTCCACGAGGCCAGTTGGTTCCAATGTTTTGGCGATATAGAAGCCAAGATCTGATTTTACCACCTGCATGAGGCTTCAGATAAATCTTTAGACAAATGCAGGATCTAATCCAAGCTGCAGTAGAACAACACAAGGTGGATTAAAGTCTAATAAAGGAACTGATTAATTAAAAAGAAAGAAGAAAACCGTAAAACCACAGGATGAATAAAGAGGTGGGAGTCCCAACATCTGGGAAGTTAAGACAGTAAATATCGTACTTGTGGATATTCTCAGTCATCCAGGTCATCATAATAATCTCAAAAACAATTTAAAGTGGGCAACTGGACTCACTTCCAGCCACTTGAAGACGTTTCGCCTCTCATCCAAGAGGCATCTTCAGTTTTAGTTGAGATGAGAGGAGAAACGTCTTCAAGTTGCTTGAGTCCAGTTGCCTACTTGAGATTATTATTGGGACAGTAAATATCATAAAAAAAAACTTAAATAAATCCACAGTCTTAGTTCTTTAATCTATATCTTAGTATCAATACTACATTGTGATTATTTGGTACTGTAAGTCAGGCTACCAAGTAGGATTATTAAAGTTACCAAGACAACATGATGTCCCTGTCTGTAGGTGGGTTTCATTTAGTACCTTAGATTTCTCCAAAAATATTACAATATAAATAGATTGTCCAGTGGGTATAATAAATACAACACAAGACAGTTTTCTTCAATGAAAGGGTTAAAGTAACCCAACACTACCTGGTCATTATTTACTTGTTCTTTAACATAGTTAAAAAATATCTGCAGGGAGGTAAACAGGTGAACTGATGTAGATAAAAAAAAAGACAAGAAAACATAAAGAATGGTGACACAGCGTGAATGTGAAAACTCTCTTACCACCTCCTCCTCTTTTAGATACAGCATCTGACAGTCCGCCACCAAACAATGCTTTGGGTTCCATGCAGTGCGCTCATCATAGGAGTGACCACGTGATATCATATGTCTTGTAGTACATCTTACATCTGAGGAGGAAGGAACACAAACAGAGAAACAGGTGTCACTCAAATGAGAAAAGACTGTGTATGGGATGACGGTTAAGATTGTAGTCGACTCATCATTTAAGACATGTTTAAAGCTCTTCTTAAATGTAAACATCATAGACCTTGAAGTTGTTTTGCAAATGCAAGGAATGTTGTGGTAGTTAGAATCCGCCTGGTATAATGGAACATTCTATTTCTGTAATTTCACAGCGGCAATGTGAGAGAAAACAAATGTGAATCAAAGAAATGTAATTAAAATATTTCTGCCCACTCCTCCAGAGATGAGGTGACGTTAATCTTTAAAAAACAATATGCAAGGCTATTTCACACAGGAAATTAAATCTGTCCCACAGAGAGACACTGACTTCAGTAATCTAGACAGAGCCCAATCCAGAGATTTAAACACAAAGTAATTTCATGAAAAAAATATTCTCTAAAAATAATATCCTCTATCTTTACCTTGTGGGAATGATCTGCAATTTACTTTTTAGTATTTACACATCAAGTTGTTTTTGAGGTACTATAATTTTTGTCCACAATTAAATGATTGTGTTTAAATAGAAAACACATTAATATTATTTTGACCTACTGCAACATAATCTGTCTATTATTTCAATAGTTCAGTAAATGGATGAACAGACAGACAGGCAGACAGACAGACAGGCAGACAGACAGGCATACAGACAGGCAGACAGACAGAACTCTTTGGGAAATCATGGGGAACAGACACTCAATGATCTACATTTGAGAAACAGAATACAAAATCATGTCATTTTCAGACAGACTACAATATTTTGAGAGTTTCAAAGCAAAACTACAAAGCAGCCACACATGTAAACTATTCATGCAATGCGTTGTGATTTCTTTTTTCATGTATATTTCAATTATCTTTTGTGGTATGTACAACTGGAGGTCATGTGAGTCACAGAGCAGGTTCAAGATCTTAAAAGTAGATAAAATGACTTTAATTGTATTTATCTCTTATTTTAAAGCTGTTTAGCATCCTCAACAATAGACAACAGGTTGTAACATAACCATTTGTTTGACAGGTACACACACAGACAGCTTTAAGGACTGATATGATACCCAATGGATTAGAAGATTTCTGTCTTTCATACTCGTGTAAAGTTATTGTTTAGGCCTGTAGCTGCTGCATACAATATTCCACAGCCCATCAATTATTTTGCAGGGGCTGCTGTCTTCAGTAAAACACTAACCACAGCAGCAAAATATAGTCTTCATTGATTTTTATGGAGGTTCTAAAGCATGAAATCTTTATAAACATCAATACATTTCTTTAAAAAAATGGCTGCCAGATAATGTGTAATGAGCAAAATGTTATCTTTTCTTAAGGTTGGTTTATTTATTTTAATTTTTTTTACACAGAAAATGGTTGGTTTATTTATTTTAATTTTTTTTTTTACACAGAAAACAAAGATATTTTAAGTAGTTATTAAAACACAAGATGTCCGGCTGATTGCATGATTAAATCCTGAATATTATGCAAGGCTCATCATGCTGTACTTTGAAATGTTTTGTCTTTTGTTGTTGCATGACATTTGAAGGGAACAAAATTAACCTACTTTGAAATGTTTTGTCTTTTGTTGTCTTTTGTTAGCTCTAATTAGAAGGCGAGAGCCCTGTTTTTGTGTTTGTGTTCTTTTAAACTGCATGACAGTTATGTAACCAGGCACGTACTTAAGCTCAAATGGTCGACGTGGAGAAAAAAAAACAATAGCTTTGGTACTTGTTCTCTGAGTGAGCACATGCACTGATGTATGTGTGCCCATGAAAGTGTTTTGTCATGGAGGGAGTGTTCTGTACGCTGCCTGTCAAAGATAAGGCCGTTCCCATCACTGCAGCTGGTGCTTTATCTACCTGGGATGACAAGCACGACCTCTTTGTATGTGCATTTTACTGAGCTGTTGTCGTCTCCAGTGTCCCAGACGTTAGTGCCTGAGTGAGATCAATACCTGCGCTGTATTAGCATTTCTTTTCAACAGCATCAATGCCTTGGCTTGGCAATATATCAACAGAGAAAACGCTTACAGGCTACGACGTATATACTGTACTCCTCCCAGTACCTAAAGTGCAGAAAAGCTTTTGTCCAGAACTCATGTTTCCCTGCTTCAGCAACAACACAGAGAATGACAGGTCTACAACTGGTGGTGATGATAAAAATCAAATATGAGGGTCTTACAAACAGCACAAACAGTCAAACAGTCAAACATACCTGGAGGCTTTTAAGTGATTGGAGCTCCATCCAATAAAACATAAAAAATCTGCCAAAAATGTTGATTTAAGCCAGTGGTTCCCAAAAAAAATGTTTTCGTAGAAATGATTGTTATTGACCCCCTATTCCTGCAATTCTGTTATTATAATTGAACAGGAAATCAAAATACAAATCAGTGCAATTTCCCAACTGCGTCCCTGAGTAACAGCTCTGTGCCCCTGAGGTGGGCCCACCCCCTCTTTGAGAACCTCTGGTTCAGTCTTTGAGTTATCACTTGTTTTGCATCATGGCCAAAACCATAGCAGTTTAGATGTCAGTGAAGGAAATGCCAATGCCCAAAAATCAGGGGAAATATTTTTTAGGTTTTTATTTATTTATTTGTGTGTGTTTGTTTTGTTTTTCAGTACTCTGTAATTCTCTCAAGGGAAATTACTCTCTGCAGATAACCCATCTGTGAAGTATCCCAGCGGTGGGTTACACTTCTGGTACTGAGCCTAGGGATATTTTTGAACCGCAACGCTCTGGTTACCAGATCAATCCTTTAACCACTTGGCCCAAGACCTGCTTGTTATGTGGTGTGTATCAGCACAGTACAGTCATATAACTTTACATTATGGCAACATTAGAGAAAGTTTTTCTTTTAATTGTTATCATTATTAGCATTTGCATTTTAAGTTGTTATTGGCTGTATATAGATTTTTTTTATTTTTTTTTGTATGGGTCAAAAGCAACCAAACAAGATCTGAAGAAGAGAGGCGTCGATTTAATATGCCTGTTTTAAATCATGCTTGTTGACAAGCAGCTGGCTACAGCAGGGAGCTGTAATGCAACCTAGACTAATGTGGAGCACCTTGATTTGCCCCTTCAGATGAGAGGCTTCATCATTTTCTCACACTTCTAAAGAAACTGCACAGGAGTTAAGCTCACCAGCAGAGACGGCGAACGAGAAATACTCTCTGAGCATTTCATGGAAATGTCACTAATCACAAAGTGAGACGTGAGGTGAGAAGCTGGTCGGGTGTTACCGTATCATAGTTGTCAAAACATTCTGGAAATGTCTCCCTTTTTGTGTCCAGAATTCATCAGTTTTCTCGCTGCTGTTTCTGACCCACTGCTTTAATACACAGAGCATTTAAACAGTTTTCTTGCCTTGGGGCCATAAATTAAAAATGAATCCAGAGTCGATGCACACGGTCAGATGAAAAAAAAATGACCTAAGTTTAGTGTTCTATGTATGATATTTCAATATAAAACTCAGTCACACGACAAGTCTTTGTCAACAGTCAACTTTAGAGATTTCAGTGTCACGTTCTGACCTACAACAGGTGCCTAAATACATATGAACATCACTCTGCTTTTAATGTACACACAGCAGGCCGTTCATTTTACAGTCTATAAAAGATGCACTTTGTTTATGATAGATCAGGACAAGCAGATTTATTGTCAGAGAAGATGAGATTAGATCGTTCTCTGGAGGTCAGACTTTATGAGATGCCTCGTCTTTGCTCCCTGGATGAACTCCTGTGTTTACACGATGAGGAGCGAGCGGCTCTCAGGGTACAGAGCCTGTTATTAGACCTCGTATGTCAAGGTGACGTTTCAGTTTTTTTTAAAAATGCAGATAAAAATATACATGTTATCGGGTTCTCAATAGTATTTTAATTTGCAGGGGTGTGGCTGGGAGGGGGCGTAAAAAAAATTCTGTCCCCAACAGATGGACAGTGTGAAGGACAGACCTGACAGAAGCAGTGGCAGGAGCACAAGAGATCCATATATAAATCCAGCCGCAGTGTATACTCAGAGAGAGTAGAGTGACAGATGTGACCAGTCACAGCACAGCAAACGTATATTTAAGTCTCACTCATACTTATCTCGTGTGGAGAAAGCAAATGACTTCCATCTTTTGAATCCCTGCGTGGACGTTGGACAATGTTTGAGAGTCAACAGTTAGCTGCACAGCTGCACTGTGAAAACTACATGTGAAAAAAAAGACCAAGTACTAACACTGTGTCCCAGTCTACTGTGTGTGTGAGAGAGAGAGCCAATCAGGAAAGGAGGATTTTGATGAAATGCTTGGTAACTTTCAGAGCCTCACTGTAGAAAACAGTTATGTAACAGAGCCTGGGGCTGGTGTCCACCAGGATGGACCAAACAATTCTGGAATTCTGGACCTACAGACTTATGAGGGGTAGTCTGACTGGTCCATGTGCATCTACCTGGTGGAAGTGAGAGACGGACTGCTCGGGAGAAACAACAATATCCCAGGTGAACGACTACATACCGATCTACAAACCAAAATCCTATAAAAAAATTAGACTAGTGACCTCCAGTGGACAATATTCATTCATCTTCTACAACTTAATCCTACTACTGACACAGGGGGCTGTAGCCAAACATAATAATAATAATGAATAATAATTGTACTATATTCATGTAGTTATAAATATATACCATATTTGGGGAAATTCTTGTGTTAGCAGCAGATATGCTGTTAACAGGCTGCCCCCTGCAGGCGCCAATCAAACCCAGAATTCTCTGCACTCTGGGTTCAAACATGTCAATCATGGCGTTTCATGGATTCTAAATATATATCCATTTTTTAAATTACTCTGATTGTTGTTCATATGAGAAGGCTACACGACAACAAACAACCAAAGTGACAGTTTCTTCACTGTATCTCAGGTGAGACAAAAGTCAATTAAGGTCAGCAGCAAAAAGGGTTGTTGTTTTTTAGTGAACCTCAGAGCTCGTCTGGTTGGATTCTAGGGTTTTACAGGAGCTAAAGTGTGTGTGTGTTTGTTTCAGTCTACACACACTCATTCTCTGAATAAGATGTTTTTTTAAGTTGGCACAATAAAAAAATAATAAAGATGAGAGGGGTTTTTTTTTAGTATTTTTTGTAGTTTTAGTTAAGTTTTTGTGTTTATCCTTGAATTGAAACAAGATTGATGGATGTATTGCGGTGAATCCTAAGGTGAAAGGAGAAGGAATAAGATGGTCTCTCTCTGAGTGTTCCCTAAAGGTTTTTTGAATTATTTAAATATTGACTTTCAGCGGTCGTCCAAAGTTCTCTCCCAGTTTGTCTCTGCTGTTAGGTTAATAAAGTCTAAAGAAAAAGAAAACAGTTGATCCCTGAAGGTCTAAAAAACCCAATGCTCTGCTGGTTGTGAACACTGTACTGTACACAATTATGATGCATTCATTTTCTTCTTCTTTGAAAACCTGTCCCAGGTGGTGCGTGAGCCTCGGGGCTCTCAGGCTCCACTGCTGGCACCTGAGCAGCAGCGACAGGAGCTCATGTTGCCCCAGCGCTGCTTGACTGATGTGTGTTCTCCTTCTGATAAGAGTGAGCCTCAGACCGAGGTGGAGAGTGTGTGTGTTTGTGCAAACGAGATGGGAAATGACAAGATATCAGGTGCTTCATCTGTGGTGCAATTTGTTTACCGAGATGTTGCAGTGAATATCCACTCGAGGCTGCAGGGAATGAACTGAACTACTGTTTCATTTACTTGTCAAATTCCTCTTTTTTAGGGCTGTTGAACTATCACTATCACTAACAATTCTTCAATCAATCAATTATGATTAATCATGATAATCAATATTGAGATTCCTACATATTAAAATAAACGTGTTTATTTTAAATATTTCTGGAGCAAAAATACAAATAACAGCAGTGTTTTACACCTGTTTCCAAATGATCAAATTATTTATATAGAAACATGTCAAGAAATATATGCGAAAATATATATGCTTTACAGAGATCTTTAGTCATTACTGTGCATCTGGATCTTGGGCGGTAGAAGGAGTAGGGAGTTGTTTCAAAAACTAAAGCCTGCACAAATGCATTCTGGGTGTTGAGATGGTATTTTCAGCTTGAGGTGCTTTGAAAAAAAAAAAGTTTTCCCACAATGTGCATAAATTACATGGCATGTACAGACTGTATAAAAGCAAGAATGCAATAAAATACATTTGTTAACAGTAATTTTAATCGGTTTAATCCTCACAAATTAATTAAATGAATTATTATTTAATTAACTACTTTTTCTTTTTTGAGATATTTATGATTTCGTGAGGGATATCTTCTGTTCTATGAAACCTTCCGTAAAGAAGAACTTGTCTTTTGTTTTGCCACATTAACTTTGGTCGTGTTTTCTGTGTGGGTTCGTCCTGTTTGTTTCACATTTTTGACACAGACAGAATGGCTTTATTTTGGAAAATAATAGTTTTCCACTTCTTTTGTGCAGTGTGACACTTTGATTAAGAGTTTCACTTTCTTAGTGTTGGAGACACTGTGCCAGTTCACTCAGACGCAGCGTATTGTCATCAGAAAGGAATTTGGAGTTTGCTGTGGAAATGCTCGACTCACTGAAGGCTAAAGGAAGCCGAGCGGTTCTGTTTGCTGTGGCGAGGAGTTCTATTCTTCTGTGCCTTTTGTTGCAGTGAACCTTCACGTACATACATTATGTAGAGCTGCCTGCCACCTGTCACTGCTGTGCACATAAAGAGGCGACCGTGGATAAATGAAATGATGCGATCATGTTCACGTTGGTGTTGGACTACTAACAACAGCCATCTGTGTGAGACGTTCATCAAGGAAACATCGTATCGTCACCAAAATTAACTGAGAGGAGTGCAGTTGTGCTGCTATTTCTGCAGATTCGCCCAAGTGGAGCAGAAGTGACGAGAGTCTACCTGAACAGACGGATGTGCTAATAATGACTTCACCTTGAAGGGCAGGCACAGTTTCAAAACAAGAGCCAGGATTGAAATGTTGAGACATCATGAACAACACTCCTGCAGCTGAAATAACACTGTGTCCTGTGTTTCACTGTGTGTATGCTGATTGAAAACAAAAATAGGCTTTGGGTACAAGAGAAAGAAAACCACATAGTTGAAGACTATGAACATAACTGCATCCTACTTGAGTTCTGTTTTGGGTTTGTTCTTCACATCATGGCTGTAGCTATGTGACACGGAGATGATAACACTGATAGAATCATTGTGGAGAAGAATAGTTAAGAAAAGTGGGTTGAGATTATTGCACCTGAGATAAATGAGCTAAAAAAAAAATTGTTTTTGGATGAAGCCAAAGTGAGTAGTGGAAGTCCAATCAGAGGACAAGAGTCTAAGGTGGACAACTTCTGAGGACGGCTATTAAAAAAACTAAATGAAAATTCTGTTGCATATATGTACATACAAGGGGTCTATATACAATGTATATACAAGGGGTCTAGTTCTGTTTCTATGTTGAACGTCACTCCATTTTCAATGTACATTGCGAATGTAAACAAAGTCGTCTTCTGCGTATAGCACTGCATGCCGATGTATCCGCTCCATATTAACTTAATTTATTTGACACGGTGACGTAACCACGAAGTGCCTCATGATGAGGATGTCGTAAAACTAAGCCTCCCCCCCCATATACATGTACTTTCTAGGTGAATGAGATGATAACAACAGCAGAATAAAAACATAAATAAAGAATGAATTTAGAATAGAGGACTCCAAATGGGAGCCTCCTGATGGTAGGTGCAGGTATTGCACTACTCTAACTTCTACACAATGTAAAAAGTATTAGCAGCAAATTTTGAATACTGTACTTAGCAGCAACAAAAAGAACATAAGTATTACATATTACATGAGTGCAGTTTTAGTAGTAGTATTACAGTACTGGACCTGGTAGCTAATTTAAAAATACTGTTTTAGATGATAATAAAGCTTGTTAAGAAAAACAAACAAACGTCTTACACTTTACTTGTGCCAAAGACAGTGTTGTGTTAGCGTGGTTGAAGGTACCTCTCGTTACAGAGGAGGTTTTGTACAGGAGCCTTATTGTCACTGTAGAACTGCTGCAAGGAGAAAACAATAACTTAATAACTTCTGCTGCAAGGAGAAAACAATAACTTAAATTTTGTGAAAGTTCTGTTCCTAATCAAATGTCTGGTTTGAAGATATGCCGTTGGAGCTTCTCTTCTAGTCAGTGTTTTAGTGTCAGAATCAAGTTTGGAAATAATCCTTCAATTTTCTGCTCATCAGGGTTTATCGACTTCAAACGGACTCACACCTCAAATCGAATCAAGCCTCTGAAGACGTTAAGGTAACAGTTATCTGTGGAAAACCTGTCATTCAGACAGCATAAATGAAAGCGAGCTAATGCTAACAGTGTCTCATTAGCCTCTGTGCTATTCATCAATTTGTTCTGGCAGCATTCAATTACCTTACACAACTAACTGAGGATCAGTGTACAGAGATTTTTCTTCTACATCAATACCCAGTGGAACAGTTCTCATCAACAAGAGCCCCTCCCTCATCCATCATATATATAATCCTAATCTTCTTCTGCCTAATTAATCTGCTTGTTTTAATCTCTCACTTTATAATAAAAAAAAATCTTTTAGGAGAAAAGGTAAGTCATACACCATCAGAAATGTCATTTTTAAAAGAGTGACAATCTAAAAAGACACATTTATTTATGGTCAAATAATTAGCTGTGAAATGTTGTGCAGGTTACTGAGAAATGAAAAGCAAAAAAATGAAAGCAGCAGCAGCAGCAGCAGCAGCAGCCTGATTGTTTTATATAGGTCAGTAAAAAGCAGTAGTACATATGTACTACTCCCAGCTGTGTGTTTGGATATGAAGACACCCGAGCAGCTACTCCATCTTAATGTATTCTCTCCAGTCCTGCCATATGGACAACACACACACCTCCTGTTATTCTACAATAACAATCATCACAGTGGCATCACTTACAGACCTGAGCATGGAGAAGAAGAAAAAAGAAAACACAAAACACATGCAAACAGAGAGACAGACAGATGGACAGTGACTAAACAGGGAGAGAGAGAAGAAGAGAGAGTAGCCAAGGAAACAAGAGGAACAACTGTGTGACTTCAGTGTGACAGAGGAGGAAACAAGGTGGAAAAGGATGCAGGGGACGAGGATAGGTGACATTCATTTACCTGACGGGGGATCGGAGGCTGTGCTCTCCTGCCGGTGCATCCTGACGGCTGGCTCCACGGTGAGCTTCTGTGAGCGTCCAGTATCCAGAGAGAGTGGAGCGAAACCAGCATGCCCCACAATGTGTTTTGATGACGGAGTCTGCGTAGCAGCTCAGGGGAGGGGAGTGAGCAGGCAGCAGAGCAAGGTGGGTTTATGCAAAAAAAAAAAAAAAGAGACAGTCTTTCTTTTAAAAACC